ATTTGCAAATCAATTTCCGTCTCAACGATGAGGTCTTGTTTCGTTGTTCCTTGTACTTTTGCCAGTCTGCGAGATCTTTTGTTGCATAGTATGTTTGTTTCAATCTGCGTGGACGACGAATAGCACCAAGTAGTTCAGTGGTCATAAAGGGAACATGCTCCCGCTTAATCAACCTTTTCTTAACAGGAGTATGTTCGTCAAGAAGACCCGTGAACATTTTTCCCCAAGCCCACGCAACATCGTCAACATCATCAAAGACATAGGCGACATGAAAAGGAATTTGACTGACGTCTCTTGAGAAAACATCTTGGTCAAAGTGTTTGAAGCTTCTTTTGTTCTTAATTTCCATGCAAGGTCTTGGACAATGAGATCTCATTACAGCATAAACTAAACTGTGATTGCTTATACCTGTATCATAGACTCCAGATGACAGAAATGATCGCGGTCTAGATGTAAATATAACGTCAATTAGAAGTATTAGTGATTCTTGTAGGTTCTTTTATGAGACTGGATAAGCGATAGACTTCTATTAAATCAATAAGAGCACGACCATCCTTGGCGCCTCCGTCAGGATTCAGTAAATCACAATTCAAATCTCCAACAAGAAATATATTATTAAATCGACCAGCACGAAGTAACATGTTGTTAAGTTGAGATTCCCAGACTGATTTAGATAGATTGGGAGGTCTGTAGGTACCCATTAGTAGAGCTTTAGGACCATTCTTTCTTGTTTGAAAACTTAGAGCAATTGTCTCGATGTTTACACACTCTAGGTGAGAGACTCTGAGAGTAATTAATCCTCTTCTGGTATATATCAGAAGTCCTCCACCATGTCTGTTCCTGTCTTTACGAAACATCCTGAATCCTTTAATATAAAACTGTGAATCAGGAAAATCAGCGTCAATTTTCGTTTCAGCAAGAATGACAATGTCAAATAGCCCTTGTAGAATAACAGATTTTACTTCTTGAAGTTTAAAGCCAGCGACACTGTTAATATTTAAGTAGGCAATTCTGATATTTTTGTAATACTGTTTTAATCGCACGGATAGATCGTCATCACATCCCTTGGAGGGAGAGATCCTAGCATCGTTGAGTCCACCATCAATCTCAAAGAAAGAGTCTGAAAAATTTGGCAACGCACAACCACAAGAGATATAATTTGAGAGAATAGATTTTTTTGGTAAAACCAACACATTTGATATGCCACAACTTCTGCTACTGTCTTGGGCGGTAGCACTCTCAAACACATAAACGAATGTCATCATCTCCATTTATTCGCTGTTGCATTTAATCTCCACTGCTATATGCCACGATATACCTCTTTTACCAAACCAATCCGACCGGCTTTCCCGAAACTTACGTGGAAGATATTTCATCACCCATTCAAATACTAGAAAAATGAACGGGGCGCTGAGGCCGCTCATGATGTCCAGTCTGCATTCATTCTGATTTATAGACCGCAATAAATGGGCTTTCCAGCATTCAATACTCTGTTTGGCTTGGGAAATAACAAAAGGCAGTTCTTCTTTTTCATTGTCCGAGCATTCAGCCGTTTCTAAGCCTTCCTCGATCTCCCTCATGACAAACGAGACGAGCAAGCAGCAGTCACAGTTGTCACAATGGGCGTGGCCACAAGTCACGGAATAATTTGGGTCGTCAGGATCACTCAGAGCGTATGCTCTACAGTGGTCACGGACAGCCGAGCTTTTGAAAACATGAACCTGAGAATTAATT